AAAAACGGCATTTCTTTGTCTATGTTTTTTCGTTTTAGGCAAATCAAAACGATTTTGAACTATTTTTTTTTGCAGTCTGAATTTTTCAAATTACTCATTTTAATATATTTTTTATAGGAGAGGGGGCACACGAGCATACGGCTCACCTGATGGAAAGTGATTACCGCGGCCCATGAATACTGCAGCACCAGGGGAATTGCAGATGCGTTGCCGGCCTTTTAAAAAGAAGTAGGATCTTTTCTTGAGGTTCCTAAGTGGTATCGGCCCGGAAAAATCTCTGGTGTTAGTCGATTCCACAAGGAAGTTGTGCGAGGAAGGAAACTTCTTTTAAATCGCACGGTGGTGGACCGCCAGTCATCCAGATGGTATGGATGATATATTGCGAGTTTTGTCGCGATGTACGATGGTGAAATCGTGCGGCTGGAATTAGTCCGAACAATTCCTCAGAGCACTTCCCGTAGTAGATGCGATAAAATACGCAAAGAGATGCAACATTTCTTCGCAGTGCCAGTGAGTCAAGCCGATCGGAAAGAGCTCGCTCGCCGACGATTCGAACAGCTCTGCGCTGGATGCGATCAAATGGAAGGAGCTGGCTCTGGGGAGCCCCAGCCCAGATATGAGAACAGTATTCCATGTGCGGCCGAACCTGCGCCTTGTAAAGTTGCAGGCGGTTGGCCGGCATGAAATACTGTCCCGCTCTGCTGAGCACGCCAAGCTTTTTAGATGTCAATTTGGCCTTCTCTTCCAAGTGACCATGAAACTGCACGTCACTCGATATGTCGACGCCGAGGATTCCGATACTGGATGAGGCAACAAGGGGAGTGCTTTGAAACTGAGGAGATACGACGAAGGGGTTTTTTTAGCAGTAAACTTCTGTCTTCTGGGGATTAAACTAAACTAGATTTAGTCGCCCCCAGTTCGAGACTTTGTTCAACAAAGTTTTGGCTTCAGACACAAGTTTGTAGTTAAAAGACTTCTCCATCAGAATACTGACCGAGAGCATGGTGGTTCTACAAGCTCTGAGTTATAATGTGGCGAACTCGGGACTAATATATGAATGCCATCAACGATTAAATGAGGTATGTAAGCACAACGATGTGACTCTGCAATGGATTAAGGGACACAGTGGATCTAGAGGCAATGGTGTAGCAGATGAACTGGCCAGAAAGGGATCGGCTCTGGCTACTAAGGGCTGGAACCAATAAAACCAATCTCCTGTCCACGTTCATTCACTGGTACATAGAAACTTCAATAATTTACAAATTCAACTTTGGAAAAACTTAGTAGACTATAGACAAGCTAGGGAGGCCCTGCCTGAAATAAACAGTCGTCTAACCAAGGTTCTAATGAGACTGAACAAGCCACAGATCAGGATAGTAACAAGTGCTATCATAGGACATGCCTCTTTTAACAAACTTTTGTTTACCATAGGTGTTGCAGATAGCGCCTTGTGCAGGGCATGCATGGGGCATGAAACGGCGGCTCATGTGTTGCTGACAGAGGTCGCTTACGATTACGAATCAAAATGCAGATGCGTTGTCACCCGTGAGGACTAAGATGGATTGCCTCGTTTCCAGTAAAAAGGGTCTCCGGTTCTCTACACTCACCATACGAAACACAGCAGCAAAATCATGATGAAGCATGATGTAACCTTTATGCACCTAGTGTTAATATTTTGTAAACTTTGAACATCTAATGTATAAATGGTTTAAACTTTATACACCTACGGCCTTACTAATAAAGATTTACACACGACGTATACCAGAGTTATAACGTTAAGATTACCAATAAATGACATTTGACAGTTTAGTTCTATACATCTGTTATAACGAGTGTTTAAATTGTATGGGAAATTACGCAACCGTTATACAGTTCTCAACCTTTGTTTAAGACGTGTATAACCTCTATTTGACGTGTGGCGTTTTTGAAAATAATGGATTATTTACAATATTTCGATATTTTTGATGAAATCGACCGTGAGGAACCACCAAGAAAAAGAAAACTTTACAAAAAACGTTTCGATCCCTTTACTCTACAAGATAAAGAATTTCGAATGAAATATAGATTCGGTAAAGTATATATGAGAAAAATAGTTGACTTAGTTCAACGTGACATCGAACTACAAGCTAGTGGTGGCGGGCTGTCTGTAGAACTTCAGGTATGTACTGCTCTCAGAACGTGGGCTAGGCAAGAAGTTCAAGATGATGCAGCAGACATTCATGGACTTAGCCAACAGTCCATCACGAATATATGCCGAAGAGTAGCTCTTGCTTTGGCAAGTAAAGCGGCGGAATTTATACGCATGCCTAGTACTTTAGAAGAGCAAGAACAAGTGGTTTCTGGATTTAGAAACATTTGTGGCTTTAAGCAAGCAATTGGTGCTATTGATTGCACTCACATAAAAATTAAAAAAGTCGGAGGAGATAGTGCTCAATATTATATAAACAGAAAGGGGTTTTCATCCTTAAATGTCCAAGTAGTTTGTGATGCCCAATTAAAGATAAGGGACATAGTGGCACACTGGAGGAGCAGCACACATGATGCAAGAATATTTAGAGAAAGCCGAATCCGACAACGATTTGAAAATGGGGAATTTCATGCTCGTTTACTAGGAGATTCTGGCTACGGTTTAACAAATTATTTGTTTACACCAGTCCAGAATCCTCGTATCGCTAAGGAGGAATCTTACAATAAATCACATATATTGACAAGAAATACAATTGAAAGGTGTTTCGGAGTTTGGAAACAGAGGTTCCGATGTTTATTACTTGGATTTAATGTGTCACTGGAAAATGCAAAATTATACATTGTTGCGCTTGCAATATTACACAATATTGCCATTGAAATGAATGAAGGCATTGATTTTCTTGAACCAGTCATATCTGAAGATAATGGTGACCAACAAATGCTAAGGGAAGGTCTCGATAGCCGATCTGGTCAAGAAACAAGGAGATTATTCATTGAAACACACTTTTAGTTACAAAAATGTTTTGTTAATAAATAAAATCAATTTATTTCAGACAGAGTCCGTATAAGTGACATACATTATAGTAAATTTAATTTAATCTTATTCAATTTAACCTAATTTGATTGTTTAACATAAAAAACTATTAATTTAACATAAAAAAAGGTAAAAGATATTTTATTGTGGCAATTTTGTTTTTAAAAGTAAAATTTCTAATTTAAGTTTTTCAACACGAAGCTGCGTTTCTTCTTTTTCCAATAATATTTTTTGGAATTTTAAATTATGTTCCTCTTTAATAAAACTATGAGCTTCCATCATATTTTTCATTTTTATATCATGTTCTTCCTTTATGCAACTGACAAGAACATGATTGCGCTCTCTGGTTAAGTCTCTATCCTGTAATAAACATGTTATTATTAATCACAAATCACTAATCCCATAATTTAGTTATACTTAAATTAAACTACTTATTAAAATTAATTTAAATTTTACCTCACGTTTGGTTGTGTGTATATTATCATTCATACGATTGAATGATAATTTCCGTTTCGTTCTATCTTTTTCATTTTGCATCTTGAAAGGTAGTGGTGTAATATTCTGGAATATTAACAAAAGTCATTCAGAATTTTGTGCAATATTTTATATTTATATTTATACTTAACATAAGTCCACAGATATGTTATGCCTACTCAAAGCACATGTTACTTTCTTTTGTTTCTCAGTAAGTGAGTGTATATTCTTTTTTAAATTTAATTTCTTAAACTACAACTTGCATACAATAAATATGAAACAAAATTCATAAAATGTAGTATTTTACTAACCTTTTCATCACTTTCTGCCAAGCAATGATCTTACTTTTATTAGTATTTGTATCAGTGTTTTTATTTTCTATGACGGATACAAACTCCTTCATACAACTTTTTAATAAACTCTGAAAGATAATATACAAAATTAGATTACAAATTGTGACCATATAAACAGCAGTATTTAAGAAACACTATATAGTTTTAAATGTTTATTCTAGTAAATTATCTTACCTTTTCTAATGCATCCCAATTTGCAGACCGTTTTCTTTTGACAAAGTTTAAATTATTATTAGCCATTATTACAGAATTTGCGTTGTTTTTAACAATATAGTAGCTATTAACGAATTATTAAACCCAAACAACAAAATTGACGAATGACGATTGAATTGGAAATTGTCTGAAAGGTACGTTCATAAACTTATGAGGATAATAAATATGGCTTTGTCAAAATAATGTTCAGTTTTTATCGTCTAAAAACATTAGATTATTTCTAAATTCAATTAAACAATGTTTTGGGCTAAATTTATGTGTCATTAACTACAAAAAGAGAATTTATAAGCTATTTATGTGTTTTCAAAATGTCTCTACAATTTTACAATTGAGTTTCAAAACGTTTTTGATGAATGTTGCCAATGGTTTTTGTTTTAGCGAGTTTATAACTATACAACGGTTATACACCCGTTATTGGTAAAGAGCGTGTGTAACTCTTACCCAAAGCTTATACAATGTATAAGTACACACTTGTTAAACAGATGTTTTAGATATTTTTATTGGTAAGACTGCTAGTGTAAATAATTACGCTTAGTGAATTAAAATGAAGGTAATATAAAGTACAAGATGGATTTAATATTTATTTTTTATTGAAGAATGAGATTATATATTATAAAAACGAATTGCTGTCCGTTTGTCTGTCTGCTAAAACTCGTAACTCCGTCCGACTGATTCTGGTGAATTTATTTTTGTGTTTGTGTGGTAAATAACAAGATATTAAATATTATATAGAGAATATACTATACTACTACTATATCCAGGAATAACCCCCCGCGAAGCCAGGGCGGATCTCCAGTTAGTAATAAAAATTAATAATTAAGGTTAATAATGTCAGTAATAAAAATTAACATTAATAAGACTTGTTTCACAATCTGATATAGAGGTGTGGATAACCCACAACACTATATACTTACATCTCTATGCATAGGTGAGGTACCATTTTGTAAATTCAATTTCAGGCGACAACAAGTTGATGGCGCGCAATGCAGCCGCAGAGCAAGCTATTCGCGATCTCATCATCAAGAGGATGAACAAAGCTCTTAATACCGAAGGTGACTATAATGCCAATCTTGATATGCCTTGTCTACTCAACTTTAGTTGTTAACGCATTCCTTTTACAGAACTTTCTATGTGGCTTCCTTTCCACCTAGATATTTTAACTTTTGATAGATCTTAAAGTTAATAATGTCCTTCAGACTGGATCTCGGTCGTGACGACCAGTCTCAACGGAGACTAGCCATTTGTGCAGCACAGGATTATGGTGGATGGTGTGTGCACAAGCACAGGGGCACTTTATTCTCTGAATTTTATTTCATAGGATGGCAATTTGATATGACTGAAGGGAGAGCAGGCACAGGACCAACTTATTTACGTGGCTTCCGAGACGGGGGGGGGGGGGGTACTGAGAATTTCTTACAGAAAAACTTAACTGATTTTTAGCCTGACCTGGGATTCGAACCCGGGATATTATGATCAGCATCCCTGGCTCTCATAGTCTCATGGGATTGCAATCTGATACAACTGGAGAGACAGCAGTCACAGGACCAATTGCTTTTCGTGGTTGCTGAGTCATGTGGTTCTGTGAATTTCTTGAAATAAAACATCAAAAGATTTTTGGCCTGATTTGGGATTCAAACCCAGGGATTTATGACCAAGATCCACTTTCATAGTCTGATGGGATGGCAATATGATATGACTGGAGAGAGAGCAAGCACTGGACCACCTGCATTACGTGCCTTCCGAGACACAGGATTATGAATTTCTTGACAGAAATACTCAACTCATAAATGTCCCGGGATTAGAACTCGGGACTTCATGACCAGTTTAAAAACACTAGACCAACGAGACAATCTATCAACTATAATACTTTGAAGTGCACAGAAATAAATCTATTGTAGTTGTACCACTAAAAGGGGAAGACAATGGTTTCGGAGATACAGTTTTTACAACTAATTTAGAAGCTAGGGTTGCATTTATTTGTTAAAATATTTGTGGTAAATAAAGAAATTTATTTATATGTATACTTAACATTTTGATTAAAAGAACATATACATTACTTTTTAAATGGTAGAGCCATGCTCTGCTATATTATGGTTGTAGTATGAATTGGTCGGCTCGACCGGGGTATTGATTAATTTGTAATTATTGTATTGGATCTCAAGGTGAAGAAATGGAGGAAGAAACTCTTCCAATGATCCAACTCGCATCGTTTGCGCTGCACAAGCTGTTTTGCGAGTGGGAGGTGGAGGGATTCAAGGTGCCGCAGCTTAGACCTGTAACTACATCTGTGAGTACTTATTCATTCTGGATAAAACCTGGCTTAAAATACTGCTCCTTGTTCTAGGCTTCATAGGTTCTATGTTTATGTGGGACTTATAATAAATAAAATGTACCAACTGTGTTACTTACCGTATACTTAAATTTCATTTATTTATACTTTCCACCTATAACTTCATTCATAATTTTTTTATTTAAAAACATATTTTTGGATAAAGTTGGTCATGAGTATCTTACTGCACTTTGGACTCTGCTTACTCCCTCGGATATTACAGGTATGTTAAAATATGTAAAAAATTAAATAATAAATAATAAAAAAAACTTTCATTAAAAATTGAATAAAAACTAAATTTACGGATTTTATCGCGTTTATTTCACTACTTTTACTTATTTTTAATTCCCGACGTTTCGGGTGCTTTACAGCAACCATGGTCGACGGGGGGACTGAGATGTTTGACGTCCCAATGTCATAGTTAGTCCGGCTACCTTCAGTTTTTGAATATTAATTTTTTGTTTTTATTTTTTTTTTTATTTTTTTGTTTTTATTTTTAACAAAATTAAACCCAAACCTAAGCATACCACTGCAAGACTTCATGATACTATAAGCTCGTTTTGCGTAAATCGGACCAAAAATTAATATTCAAAAACTGAAGGTAGCCGGACTAACTATGACATTGGGACGTCAAACATCTCAGTCCCCCCCCGTGACCATGGTTGCTGTATAGCACCCGAAACGTCGGGAATTAAAAATAAGTAAAAGTAGTGAAATAAACGCGATAAAATCCGTAAATTTAGTTTTTATTCAATGTGTAGTGTTCGCGTAAATTTAAGAAATCATTATTTCATTAAAAATTCCACTTTTCAATGACAATAACACTGTGTGACCATGTGTGTAAGAAATAAGTTGACTTTATAGTTCATAAAAGATAGCTTGATTGATAAAGTATGACATTGACAGGTACTGTCTGTACTACTAAGAAATTCAGGACTTCATAGGCGTGATTTTTACTGACAGCTGTCGCAGAGATCAAGCTATCTTATATGAACTATAGTTACAATTAGCGACATTTGATAATCGTAAAAATATTCATTTCTTAAAGAAATTGGAAACCTGCATGTCTGAGAATAAGAAAGAAAATATTTCAAAGACATTTGAAGGTCGAAAACATGCATAGGGGTGCGTGGAGGACATTTCTTTGCCGTAAAATCCTCTCAGAAATGAAAGGCTTGTGCTCAGCTGTGGGACTTATATAGGTTGTTTTCTCGTGCACTTAACCCCTCAATCCCAACAAAAAGCCCATGCAGTAGCATGCGCCCGACAAATACTGAGCGGTCGCATGCGCCGCACCCACCCGCAGCGCTTAAAACCATTAAAACTTTTATTTAGAGACTATGTAAAAAGATAAATTTTATTCGCACAAATACTTTCATTACAATTTCATAATAAAATACTAGAAAAATCCAAAAATCAACACAATAACATTCACGCGAAAGTGGCGTACGAAATGAACGTAGATTATAAATAAATATCCATAGGCTAACTTAACTTTTTGTTGCACTAGAGGATAGAAAATTTTATATTTAATGATTTCTTATATTTACGTGAACACTACACATTGAAATAATACTAGTTTTTACGGAATTTATCGCGTATATTTAACTTTTTTAAATACCCGACGTTTCGAGAGCTTTACAGCACCCATGGTCGCGGGAAGGAATGAGATGTTCAATTTCCAGATGTCATAGTTAACCGCGGTTACCATAGATTAAAATTTAACTTTTGTTCCGATCTACACAGTATGAACTTATGGTATCATGAAGTCTTGCAGTTGTATGCTTGGGTTGGGATTTAATTTTATTTATTATAGGATCTCAAGCAGATGGTAGCACCCAGCCATCTTCTCTATTGAAATTAGGATGTTTTTTGATTTCAATAGCCTCGCGAATCATCCTTGGAAGGAATCGGTGTTCTTTAGCGAGGATTTGTGGTCTATCAAATCTGATGTAGTGACGGGGGCGATCCTGTACGTGTAGACTGCAGACTTCCCGGAGCGTCGATTCTTCACATCAGCTATATGTTCTTTAACGCGGGTTTTAATTGATCTTTTAGTTTGTCCTATGTAGGAGAGACCACATTCACAATAAAGCTTGTACACTCCTGCATCTTGCAGAGGGACGTTACACTTGACTGATGGTAAAAACTGACCAATCTTCTTCGGCGGCTTGAAGTATGTTTTGATGGAAGCGCGCTTCAAGATGTAGCCAATCTTGTCAGTGACTCCTCTAACATATGGCAGTACAGCAGGTACACGCTCGACTGTGGCCGGCTTCACTCGTTCTCTGTGACGTAGGCGCGGGACCCGAAGCTTGTTGTCATGCAAAACTTGCTTGACGTTTTGGAGCTCTGCAGCCAGGTGTTTACTGTCACAGAGCCCTCGTGCTCTCTGAAACAAAGATTTACCCACGGTAGCTAACTGTGAAGGATGGTGGTGAGAATCACCGTTTAAATATCTATCTGTATGGGTCTTTTTTCTATACACAGTATGGCTCAAGGTGTTATCAGGATTCCGAATTTTATATTGATTCTATAATGCCAAAATTCTTCTTAGAGAAGTAGTCTCTAAATATAAGTTTTAATGGTTTAAAGTGCTGTGGGTGTGCGCCGTCGAATCCGACCGCTTGGGATTCGACTGCTTGGGGACTGAGAGGTTAAGAAATGATCATGTTGTGTTGTTGCGTGGTGCAGGTGTCGGAGTCGGAGGGCGGGTCGGAGGCGGGGGCGGGCGCAGCGCGCGCCAAGACGGCCAAGAAGGAGAAGCAGCTGCCGGCGGACGCGGCGCAAATGCACCCATGCATGCTGCTCACCTACATGCGGCCCGCGCTCGCCTATCGCGAGCTGGCGGCGCGCGGCGACCGCCCGCAGAACATGCAGTACACCATCGGCCTGGATGTGGACGGGGTCACATACGTCGGCACCGGTAACCTTACTTTTACATATAGAATTAGGCTTAACAAACGAGCACATAGCGTGTGCACAAGTGTATGTGCGCGTGTGCGTGGCGCAGCGCTTAGAGTCAACATCAAATCAACGATTAGAGTCTCCGCAGCTGAAAGGTTATAGGACAGCTCCTTCAACAAATATATATATATATATATATATATATATATATATATATATATATATATATATTCCTATACCTTTAAACGAGCAATTCTTGTATATATATAATCGGAATCTCGGAAACGGCTCCAACGATTTTCATAAAATTTTGTGTGCAGGGAGTTTCGGGGGGCAATTAATCGATCTAGCTAGGAGTTATTTTTAGAAAATGTCTTTTTGTCCGTGTTTTTAGGCAATGAAAAACTGCTACAATATCGTTAGAATAAGAAGGTAAATTTTGACAGTTTATTAATGATTACAAATAGCTTAATTGGTATATTGGGCGGTCACAAAATCGTAATACCATGGTTCGAGCCCAGACTGACCGACCGACTTTTTTTAATTTTTTTTCAAGTTCCTTTCTTTTTTGAGAAAATCTATTTTTTCGAGCCCTTTTTTAGTATTTTTAACAACACGACAATTTAAATTAAACTAATTGCACTCATGAGTTTATATTCAAATAACCAGTTCAGTTTTTTCTATTATGTCGCTAAGATCAAAAAATATTATTCGTATTTCATCAGTATGTAATTTGTATCTAAATATAATTCCCAAAACACACGAATTAAAAAAAACCGAGCGAAAAATACCGAGCAAAGCTCGGTCAACCGGGTACTATATATACTAACCGTCATACTCCGTTGATTGCGGAGCTGTTTAATAAAATTGACGGCGCATTGGGCGCAATCCGTTTAAACGCAAATTTTTTGATTTTGGTATATCAAATACTATAATATGTATACATTTCTGAATTCTCCATGAAATTTCCTATAAACGAGTACATAAATTAAGTCCCAAAGTAATAAGTGTAAGTAAATATTGAGTAAAGAAAAAATAGTCATATTTCTCGATGAAACAAAGTTTTTTAATATTTCGATTTTATTTTCATTTAATTTTAAATATATTGTTTACAATATTTTATGCGCAAAATCATAGGCTACAATACAATTTTTTACCATAAAACGCATTAATAGTAAGCTTACAAGAACCAACAATCAACTTACACCGACGTAGAATGTAGTTCGGACCAGATGCGGCACTAATCCATTAGTCAATAAAATTAACACTAGTTTTTTTTTATTTCATTAATAATATATAGGTACTTACTTAAATTCATGAAGAAACAGAACCTCTCTTTTTCCTTACATGATTCAGTCATCTTTAAATAGATCTTGCTAAGTTTTACAAATGCACTATTATATTTTTATATACTAATTAGGTCGGCATGCCCATAAAGTAAGACATTGACAGGTACTGTCTGTACTACTAAGAAATTCAGGACTTCATAGGCGTGATTTTACTGATAGCTGTCGCAGAGATCAATATCTTTTATTAACTATAGGTTGAAACATCAACGTTACACGATTTGCAAAACTGAAACGTACGTAAAAAGTAAATCAAAAAAATTTTTTTTTAATTCTTTTTGATTTATGAACTTTGCAAAGTGCATACAGATAAAATGTACATTTAAAAAACCGATATAAGAAACATGTGTCTAAGGTGACCTTAAAAACCACAACCTGTTTATATTAGAATAAAAAAATAAAAATTTCAAATATTAAATATTAAAGTAAAAATATTTAAAAGCATATGTAAATAAAAACTTACTACTTTTCTGTTTTAATAAATTGTTTAAAATATTCCGAAGTCTTGTGTTAATATACATGGCATATCCAAATGCCACATCTAATTTTGGCATAAATCATGGAATGAGATTTGAATCAACCAAGCTCCGTTTGTCTGCTCGAGGGCGCTAGATTCTTTACGATTCTAACAATTCAACCGAATTTGAACGTGATGCAGTATGGCAAACTTTAGTTCCTGTTTTCGCCACCCGCAAAACAGAGAACTAGAATTCACTACTGCGGACGTCTCAGAAATGGACACTATTGCACCTATTGCGTATTTACATTGAAATTTTGAAGAAATTGCACTTTATCCTCATTTTGATGTACTAAAACTGTAAAGGATGAACAATTACATATATTTTAACACAAAACTGACAGTCAACACTAAAATTTTACGTACATTTCAAGTTAAAGTTCCACAAACCAGCATGTTAGTTTTAAGATAGCGGTTTGCTTCATACAAATTAAAAACAATTTTACACTTACTTAATGAGATAAAACACAAAATGAGATTACAAATAAGGAGGTTAACATAATGATTTCTTCCCCCCCCCCCCCGTGACCATGGGTGCTGGAAAGCGCCCGAAACGTCGGGAATTAAAAATAAAAAGTAAAAATAACGCGATAAAATCAGTAAAAGTAGTTTTAATCAAATAAGGAGGTTGCTTATCCAGACATTGTTTTAACACAATTCACCACACAATTAATATAAATTAGTACAAAATAATTGGTAACAACTTTGTTGTTAGCGCGCGTTAATCACACTGATGGCTGACTCAAGGGATGGACGAATTATCGGATTGTATATATAAAAAATCTTACTAAAGTGTATAAGCTGTGGGGTTTTTATGGTAACCTTTTTTATCCTGTACACATCGACATATGGTAGAATGAGTTAGACATAGTGCGTAATGCTTTATTTCGACATTAAAAGAGCGGGTAAAAAATGTCCCAACACTTGGACGCCCGCAGTCAACGGAGATATTTTCGTGTCCAAGTATTAGACATCCGCAGTTGAGAGGATAAGAGCACTTATTACTATCCTAATCTGTTGACTTGTTCAATCTCATTAAAACCTTCCTCATACAACTATTTATTTCTGGCAGGGCCTCCTTAGCTTACCTACAGTCCACTAGATTTTTCCAAAGCTGAGCACATTGATTTTAAAGTTTTTACATACCAGTCAATGAACATTATCGAAAGCGCTTGATATGATCAGTTCTAACCCTATAACAGCCACAGTCAATTCTATTCTGACCAGTTCATCTGCTGCGTCATTCCATCACTCCTGGATCTACTATATCCCTTGATCGATTGCAGTCACATTATTGTGTTTAGATACCTCATTTAGTCACTGTGACATTCATATATTTGTCCTGAGTCCGCCACATTACAACTCAGAGCATTTATTACCGCCAACGTCAGTCAGTAAGTATTCTGATGAAGAAGTCTTACCTTCCCGTGCATGTTCTATTGCTATGCACCACACTGAACTATTGCCGAACATTCTTTGATATAGTCAGACAGTGTTAATGTCGGGGGGAATCGATCAGCAACGACTCACCTGCAGACGAGCTGGAACCGCCCCTTGACACTGCGTTCATTTGATACACACACGGGATACCGAGGTTACACGCTCTGCTTTGCTGTACACAATAGGATAAATAGGATAACATCACGTTCACATTCTTTGACAAGCTAATTCAGAACATACAGTATACCATTGGGTACTAGTTCGAGTACTAGTTACTGCCTACTAATGCAGCAACAGCATATACTGGATAGTAGTAACATATTTGATTGATAAAGAAACAGATTTGAAACAGCAGCACTTCTCATTGCCACCTATTATTAATAATGACGTCGCGTGTCCTATGTTTGTACATAGCAAAAATTGTGAAAGAGAAAATGGTAAGTAGGTAAATTACCTGTCGTTTCAGATTATAATTTTCGTGATTTCAATTTTTTCATAGAAGAGTGGGCAAACGATCATGCGGCTCACCTGATGTTAAGTGACTACCGCCGCTCATGATCAATCGCAACACCAGGGGAATTGCAGGTGCGTTGCCGGCCCTTTAGAAAGGAGTTAGCTCTTTTCTTGAAGGTTCCCACGTCGTATCGGTCCGGAAAAATCGCCGGTGGCAAACCATTCCACAGAGAGGTCGTACGCGGAAGAAAACTCCTTGTGAGACACAGTGATGGACCGCCAAGCATCCAGATAGTGTGGATGGTATCGGGACGTTTGCCGCTTAGTGCGTTCACGAAATTTGGCGGCTAGGATTAATCCGAACAATTCCTCAGAGCACTCCCTGTGCGAAAGAAAATGCAAAGAGATGCAACATCTCTTCGCAGCGCCAGTGAATCGAGTCGATTGGAAAGCACTCGGTCGTCGACGATTCGAATCGCTCTGCGCTGGATGAGGTCAAGTAGAAGGAGCTGGTACTGGGGAGCTCCAGCCCAGAGATAGGAACAGTATTCCATGTGCGGCCGAACCTGCGCCTTGTAAAGTTGCAGGCGGTGTGCCGGCATGAAATACTGTCCCGCTCTGCTGAGCACGCCAAGCTTTTTAGAGGCCAATTTGGCCTTCTCTTCCAAGTGACCACGAAACTGCACGTCACTCGATATGTCGACGCCAAGGATTCCGATACTGGTTGAGGAAACAAGGGGAGTGCCTTGAAACTGAGGAAATACGACAAAGTGGTTCTTTTTAGCGGTTAACGCGCAAACTTGTGTCTTCTGAGGGTTAAACTGGACTGGATTTAGTCGCCCCCAATCCGAGATTCTGTTCAGCAAAGAAACCAGCTTTGTTTCTGTTCAGCAGACTCGACTTCACAGTTGAGTCTGCTGAACAGAAACAAAGCTGGTGATCCAATTGCATAATATCTCGGGAAACCCATAGGAAGGGAGCTTCGAAATAAGCGCTTTGTGCCAAACCCGATCGAAGACCATCGCAGTGTCCAAACTAACGTCCAATGCCTCCCCCTTGGACTCTACTGCCTCCGCCCTTTCCTTCATACTTTTACGGGCTTAGGATCGTCCAATATACTGTAGTTGAATAGAATAACACGTTAGATTTTATCTTGCATTATAATGAATTAATAAACAGTTTGTAATAACAATTTTTATGCTATCTTATACTGCAACATTTCGGCGTGTTTAAAAGATGGAAATCAACTTATATTTACAAACTGCACTGAATGATATTTACAAAATTATTCTACATTATTGTTATTTACAAATAAAAATTACCTTTTTTAGCGATATGGCAGTAATTGTTCAAAATGCCTACAATTCCCTTCTAAACACAAAACTGGCCAGTCTTGGTAAATTGTTTGTTAAACTGAGAAGTGTGTCTCTATCACTTTTTATCTCATTAAATACGTCTAATATACGCTGCTTTAAACTACTAACACTTTGTGCTTCTTCCGTGTACACCAATCATTTTAGTTCGGCCCACAAATAAGTCTAGAGGTGTTAGGTCTTGTGATCTCGCCGGCCAGTTCACAGGTCAACCGTGACCTATCACCGAATTGGCTAGTCAATGTTGGATACTCGACATTAGAGTATTGATAGATGTTTACCTTGGCTAGCCACAGGTAAATGAAATGAGAGTTGAAAGCGCTGGCTGTTTTGTTCTTGAGTCTCTGACCGTGCGAAACGACATTGACAAAGATGTTATTGTTTTATTGCTGTTCGTAAAGTAGGAGGGTGGATATGATGTGAATCAAAATGTTTGTTTTTATATTTTGTAAAATATTAGTGCCATAGGCTTCTGCTTCGTTCACCTGTTACACCCAATTTTTTCCCAGAAGGTAAAAATAGTCATCCAGTATGTATTTATATTAAAATCAGTCAGATACAAACAGTACACACAAATAGATTTTTCTTCAATATTGTGCAAATAAAATACGAAGAAACTTTCACCAACCTATTATATTCTAATTTAAACATTTTAATTCCAGCATCAAACAAGAAGGAAGCCCGCAAAGCTGCGGCGAAAGCAGCCTGCCAGGCGATATTTGGCGTGACGTTCGAACAGCCGCAAGTCAATGCATAGGTCTAACTCAGACAGGAAATGCTAACCTTACGAATGTCTACCTAGAGACAGTTTAGTGTACGGGCTGGAAAGTGAATACTAGAATAAGTTGGAAGTAATTTTAGTCTGAGGAAATGTTAGAAGTAGGACTAGCTTGTTTTCTATAATAATATCTGAAAGTTTTGTAGCATTTAAGTAATGGAAATTGACACATTTCAGTAACATTTTTGTGTAATTTGTATTGAACACACCATGTTATTAGATAAATATAGCTTGTATTTTCACAGGTTTCATATTTATTAATCGAGATGGCTTTGCTAGTAAGAAAGAAATCAAGACTCCGATCAGACTTTAATTTTTTGTCCTTTCTCATTCCGTCTCGCAGAAATTATGTTGTAAATTGTTAATAATCCTTACAGGTTAATCTTGATTTGAAGTAGAACAAAAGTTAAAAAATATGCTGATTGGATGTAATTTTATATTATGTTTCCATCCATTACAGCCCATAAAAATCCACTGCTGAACATAGGCCTCCCTCATAGATCTGCTGCCCAACTCCTGTTTCCAGAGGGAAATTGAAATTTGACGTACACTAGAGTATTATATTTTTATGACATTAAGTTTTTATAAGGCCATTGGATGGCCTTTGCAATTTTGCATTTTTTTGTATTTTATGACACCAATTGTAATAGACTTTATGTATTTATATTTAGGACATTATTAAATAGTAAAACACTTAATATACTTCACTGTTTTATAACAAATATTCTGTTCGAAATATGTTTCAACATGTCTTCATAAATTGACCAAAAACATCCATTGTATATATGTGGCAATGGGCTCTGATAACAAAATAGATGTCTCATTGTAGCGCCTGGTAGCGAATACGCTATGAACAAGATAGTGTTTAAATTTACTTAATTTTAATTGCCGACATTTTGGCTGTTTTGCAACACCCGATTATACCAATAGATTAAAGCAGTTTTGCCCTAGAAAATTGTCACCATATGCTGACATTGTACACATTAATCGTAAGCAATTGTGTTTTGAAGCAATTAGGCTGTTCTGATTAAGTGCGTGTTGACGGGCTTCACGTGCCCTCGAATTATTGATGTAAAAACTTCTTTAGAATTTCGAAAATCTATGAAACGAAAAAGAGACAAACATATACATCTATAGGATTTAACCTGCGAGAGAGTGAGATAGAATATAGTGCATTCGTCTCATTCTCTCTAAGCTTAGGGTTTCACTTCTAGCGCCTGTGAACTGCACATAATGTTTTTTTGTCAGTTGTTAAAACGTAAATTGTATTAGTGCCAACTGGGATCAAATTCGGGTTGTTTGGGTATTGTAAACAATATGTACCATTACACAGGAGAAATGTGTTTTCACAACAATACATTAGCTTTGTCATTTATTTCATATGAAAACCCACTAGTGGAAACAACCCCCCTTTTAATTTTTTAAAATTTATTTTCATATTGTAATAATTTGAAAAATTTAAATTAAATAGCATATGTAGTTTAAGATATCACATTGTTTAGAGTACAATGGTATGTATTGAATTATAACTGAAATAAAGTTAACCATAATTTGGTAACTGACTTGTTTTTTTTTATAATAAAATTATACATACAATTAAACTTACTCTAGCCATTATTTTATAAAAGTATTGAATCTAATATGTTTCCTCATTTACTGGAATTATTAGTCATTCCTTTATTTAAATCTGGTAGTACATGAGATCCAGCTACCTTAGACCTGTTCAATGAAACAAGTGTTTTACCGATTTTATTGTGTACATATTTGACTTATTTAATATTCCTGATGTTTCGAGTACTAAGTTGAAGGGAGGTAACCTTAAGGTAGCCCTAGTTAAGTTAATTATATTTTTTTTTTTTTTTTTTATATATTACAATATTGATTCTACGTCCTTTCATTTCGCATTATTGTAGCGTCCACCACTTGTAGGCAATTTTTATACATTATGACAGCGAATATTGGTCCATTAAACAATTTCAAAGATAGTGTTTAACTCATTATTTTGAAAATTTATCATATGTCGATATACAAATATTCGTATATTGCCAGACGGAGGGAAACCAATCAGGACTCCCTTCCATATTACATATTATCCAGAATCCCCGTAATATACATAGTTTTTAATTCATTCTCCTGCTTAACGCAATTCCTTTGTATGGTGCGACGTTGCCACTCTTATTAGTTATTCCGCTTTGTAATATTTTATTTATAGTAGGTGATATTTTGTTTATGAAGGTATTCGATAGATTCCTATAGTCTATTTTTTTCGCAGGAGACAAAAATAACAGATCTTTATTAGATTCGTTTAGCACGAATAATACAGTTTTTATGATTCTGGTTCAGATTAGATTTAATTTTAGTCACTTAAGTTTCGTATATTGTTCAAAATAATGAAATAAATCCACAGAATGTGCAGTTACGAAAAATACGCAATTTCATTTTTGTCTCCGGCGAAAAAAAAACAGATAAATATCATGATTAATTTACCAACTAGTTATTCGTTTACTAAATAGGAAAAAATATCTAGGATTGCCCAGCCGTATTACATTATAGATTGACTATATTATTATTTATTTTACTATTGTAAATAAGTACTAATTGTAAATATTGACAGGTTTAATAGAAGTTCATTTTCTTATATTGTGACTAATAACCTAATATGACCTTGGCAAGAAACTCATTTTAATATAAGGTTTTACTGCATTAACTGCCAATGGGTTGTTAATTTCTACAATAGACCGTGGCGTATTGTTACTGACATGAATAACTCCGAAAATATAATTTATTTACTTGATCGTATTGAGTTTTGGTGCTCCCACTGCGAGTTTACTTTTTATGATCACTATCTTAAGGATGAGTGCGAACTACTAATCTGTACAAAATTACTCTCTACTTATCTAGATTCATTTTTGTAAAAGGCTATTTTTGTTAAATTATGATATTATGTTTGGTTTTGCAGTTAGTTGAAATACAATTTGTTTGTGTTGTTGTTATAAATATTGGACGCTATATTACTAAAAACATGCATATCGTGCTCTAATTGGCGTCCGTATTGTGACCTACGCACATTGAGAACTTTTCACGCTTATGCTTGCTTGCATTTAAGTTTCTTTGGTTATATTTAGTAACTTAGGTAAATAAACTTGTGTAAGTTGATTAATGTACTTGACAAGGACATTGAACGGAGTATTTACCCATATACGGACGTAAGAATATCCTAAAATATTCAAACTAAGTTTTATTTGACGTCCACTTCTTCGATATCCGATGTCCAAAGTTGTTGTTGATTATTGCATTTTACTATTTATTTATGTTGATTATTTATTTAGTCCTCAAGGCATATTTTGGTATTTTTTGTCGGTTTATACTGTATTCAGTGCTAGTAGATAATTTTACTTTCCAATTTGTTTTCGTGTCCTTAGATTTAGCGACATGTAATCATAGGGACGTTCGAATATCCTAAAAAATTCATACTGAATGATATTTGACGTCCATATTTTGAATTTTGTTATATTTCTATATGTGGACGCCAGATTATCGGTAGAGTTTCATACCGCACGATATTTGACGTCCATATAACCATGAATATATATATATATTTTAATTTCTTGTGTATAACACACATTAATGATCAATACTTTAATGACATTTTTCGCTATTGTTTTATTTTTATTTTTAGTGTAGCCCATGCGGTATGAAATAGTCACTTTGGTGTTTCATAAAATGCTCCATTCTAGAAACGACAAAACGCTTAGAAAACCTTTCTTATTTATTTTTTCATAAATGTTTTGGGGCACTGTGTGCGCCAAAATTTTAACTTTAAATTACTACCTGTGTACACATAATTATATGGACGTCCGAATATCCTAAAACATTCATACTGAATGACTATTTTGTTATATTTCTATATGTGGACGTCATATTATCGGTAAAGTTTAATACCGCACGATATTTGTCGTATATATAACCATGAATACATTTATATTTTAATTCTTTGTGTATAAGACACACATTAATGATTATTGCTTTAATGACATTTTTCGCTATTGTTTTATTCGTATTTTAGTGTAGGGATGCGGTGTAAAATACTCACTTGGTGTTTTATAAAATGTTTCGTTCTAGAAATGAAAAAACGCTTGGAAGCTTAGAAAAGGTGTGTGAAAAATTAAATTGTATTTCAATTAACTGTAAAACCAAACATAATATCATAATTTAACAAAAATAGCCTTTCACAAAAATGAACCTAGTTAAGTAGAGAGTAATTTCGTACAGATTAGGTACAATAGTCGCACTCATCCTTAAGATGCAGTGAGAGCACCAAAACTCAACACGATCAAGTAAATAAATTATATTTTCGGAGTTATGTCAGCAACAATATGCCACGGTCTATTCTAGAAATTAACAACCTATTGGCAGTTAATGCAGTAAAACCTTATATTAAAATGAGTTTCTTCGCCAGACCATATTAGGTTATTAGTCAGAGGTTATTAGTCACAATATAATAAAACAAACTTCTATGAAACCTGTCAATATCTAAAATTGAGTCCATCTTCCTGTATTCAATCAGAAGTAAAATGTAAAATGTTAAAATATAGTGATACACCGCCAACTTCCTGACTCCGGGCAGATATTGAGCAGCATGAAATAAACCGATAAGCCGACGTCCGCATCTACATTTATAAAAATATAACTAAATTCAAAAATACGGGTGTCAAATATCATTCAGTATGAAAGTTTTAGGGTATTAGGACGTCCATATTATGTGTAGTTAAATGTAAGGTTAAGAAAACAAGTTTAAAAGTAAAATTACTAGTACCAAGCGCAGTATAAACCATATAATAATGCCCTGCAGACCGAATTACTGTCACGGCGGCCTGCCTCGACGGAGACTAGCCATCGGCGCAGAACAGAATTATAGTGCTCAAGTGTATGCGCAACCACAGGTATACTCTCTATTCCCTCATTCTCATAATCCGACGGGACGGTAAACCGACACGACCTGAGAGAGATCAGGCGTAGGACCAACGGCTTTACGTGCTTTCCGAGTCACGGGGGTGATACACCGTCAACTTCCTGACTCCGGGCAGCTATTGAGAATTTCTTGACAGAAAAATTCAATAATTGATTTTTTTGGCCCGACCCGGGATTCCAACCCAGGACCTCACGATCAGCAGTCGCACTACTACAACCACTAGACTAACGAAGCAGTCATAACCATATATCACCAAATACAAGTAACACGTTGGCAACGGTGACGGAACGGCAACGTCGCATCTCCTAATTTTGTGCGGAAGTCAAATACGGCTATAAATAAAAGTATTCACAAATCGACAGCAGCGCTATTATTTTTGCAACGAAAATTAGCGGAACTACGTAAATATTCAGTACAGCAAGATTGGAAGAAAAATGGCGTCCAATTTTTTTTTAGATTTTGACATTTCTGTGATAAACATGACAATTTGCGAACATTGCGCTAAGTCTCCTATTTGACGTCCGTATATTGGACGTCGTAAGCAGGTTGACGTCACATTATATGCAAAATTGGCCATAGTGGACGTACAATAAGTTATGGGATGTATATATATACTTTATTTATATATATTATATCGTTATATATATATATATATATATATATATATATATATATATATATATATATATATAATTACTGAAATCCGTAAAACTAACTTAATTAATTGTTTAGTGTTCGCGTAAATAGATTACGAAACCTTTTTCTGAACTACTAACACACTAAGTAAAATGTAAAAAAATAGCTGCACGAAAATCAATTTAATTTAACAAGGGCTTTCAGGTTAACTTCTAATTAGTTGGCGGAAGGTTGCGAATTAATTAGTATTTTTATTATAATTAGTTTCTGCTGGTCAACTATAATTTGGGACATTGCCAAAGCCCGTGTTTAAAACTGTGTGTAACTGTGTTTAAAAACTAAAACTCCCTCTCTTAAACCTCTCCTGTCTTAACGGTAAAAATCAATGAAAACTAGTGCATTGCATGTGCATTGGGCCTACTAGGTAGTGGTAATGGGGATAGCTCGATAAAAAACACACCACTTGCTTTACCTCATGGTGTTGTGCAAATGAGACTTTTTGGCCAAAACGCATGTTGAAGTGGTTATTATATAAATTATAGGTTTTTCTAAATTAATTTATTATATGTTTTTAACGTAAAATGAGTCCAAAAGCTCCGTAGTCTTCTTCGTTTAAGCTTCGGACTTTTGTAGTTAAGTTTGTTAGCTTGTTTGTGAGTACTATTTGCAAAAGGTGTTAAAAGTAAAACGCAGTAGACGGTCGTAGCTAGATTTTATTAACATTTCAAATACATACTTATTAAAAAATTGTAATCGCAATTGCATTTTATTGATATCATTTGTTAAAAACTTCCACATACTGAAATTAAATGAACTTAAATAGCAGCTATTTTAAAAAGGTTATCCAAACGAAATTTTTGGTTTGCAAAAAGATGAAATTCGCGGGTAAAAACATAATTTTTTTTTAATTCACCAATTTTTAGTGTTGCGAGGCATAAATTAATCCATGCATATTTTCTATCGGTATTTTCATGAAGGTTAGAGAGAAGGAGAACGATCGCTACGTACTAAAGCATAGCCCGCCTGTCCCTGAAAATTCGTCGGTACCTAAGTAGTATCTGCGAAGTTAGCTGTTTATGAGTACAAGTAAATGAGGTTTGTTGAAAAATGTATAAATTTTCTTCGCGGCATTGGTGAGAAAATAATCGTGCTCCGTAATTTTTTAATTTTGACAAAAAGAAACATTAAAAAATTGTGCAATATTGTATTGTGCATGGATGTGTAAGTGGTTTAGCATCTGATCGGAAAAATAGACTGAAAATGAATTTTATTGAGAGAGAACTTAGCGATCGCAGCGCCTCGCTTATTTTGTCCATATTTCTGGGACACTATTTTCTACAGCGATCTTTCTCCTCTCTAACCTCCATGGGTATTTCGGTGAGTGAGAGGTAATATATTTGTTCATTAGAGTTCGGACAAGTACAGATTTTTATTGGGATTAGTAAAATGTTCTTCTTAATAAATAGGTAGGTAGGATGCATAGATTATAATTAATAACTAATAATCTTATGTAACGTTCATACAACAAGATAAGTAGGAAACGGTAACATAAAAAAGCGTTACGAAAATTAAACGACTTGTATAAACCTAACGCTAATTTAAACTATTCAGTCTTAGCGGATGCTAATTGATGCTGGAGCAGAATCTAGCCCAGGTAGCCGATCTAGGTGTTTTTAAATTTACTCCATTCCGAAAAATAATGACGCTTAAAAATACTGATAGTTAATTGATTGTCCAAATTAATTATGGTTAATTATGATGCCATAATCAATTTAGACAATCATTGCTTTACTTTTGGAAGTAAAAGTTAAATTCTATGTCTATGTCGATGAATAAGTTAAAAACACCTATATTAAAATATTACAAAATTTAGTAAACCGTTTGACGAATACACATTATTGCACTATTTAACCAACAAAATGTTTTTAAATATAATTGCAACATTAGTAAAAAACGTAAAAAAGTAAAAACTATACATATTGTAACAGATAAAAAAATTGAACAAAAACTTTAAAAATTGAAAACTATTCTAAAATACTTAAGTATTGGCACGGTATTGTACCTGTCGAAAAACTTTTAATAATTTTGGACGTTATAATGTCGAACTTGCTTTGTGAATAATTACGTCAAGTTTTCAATTTGTAATTTTACCTCCCTTTCTTTTGTGATTAAATTTAATATATTATATACATATTATAAACATGTTTTTTGCCATGTAATGGTTTACGCATAACTTTCATTTCTTTATTTATGCTTTCGACAGTGTGTATAGTTCTAAATCTCTGTTGTATTGCTAAAATTATCTACTAAAACGGTGTCTGGTTCCGTACATGGACGTCAAGTTTTATATAAAGTTACTCACAACAACCGATAGGTCCACATGGACAGTGGACTCTGGAGCAATGCCAAGTGGGGTGGCTCCTTACCGCCTACAAGTAATAAGTATAATTGTGTTTCGCCATTTCTCGGCTCGCTTCTGGCACGTCTCTCACCCAAATCTTGGAGCTCGATGTCGCCCGGACCAACACCGGAATCTGGGGTCATAGCTATTCCCAAGTTTCTTACGTCTGGACCCAAGTAGTGGGGGTTGCTAAAACCTAAGGATGACGCTCCGGAAAGTCTGTTAACTTTCTCAGCGCTCGCGTAGTCTGACGTCGATAATTCAGCCTCGTCTTCCGTAATATCGGTGACCGGCTCCTTCATAAATCTCACCGATGCCGATTTTGGAAGCGCTACAATTTTCACCTTCGGAGTCTCGTCTTTTAAATCTTTTTTGTGACCGTTTTGTGAAATCTCCCTTTTCATTTCTTCCTCTTCCTCCGTATCCAAGTACACGAGTTTCGTGGCTTCTGTTTGGGATAAAACCGGCGTCGGTAGAACCATGTCAGCGAAGTCGGGTACGGAGATAGGTTCCCGCGACATCGATCTGTATCGTTCGGCCTCGTCGCCTTCTACGGGACTCTCGCCGCCGTCTGCCGGCTGGCGTTCGTCGATTACATAGGCGGATCTTGACTTAGATAGGGAGGGCTGTTCGGAGCGGACGAGGCTCTCGGTGGAGTCCTGTTCCCCGGCGAGGACGGTGTAGGAGCAGCGCGCACCTCTGCGCCTGTGGAAGGAGGAGAGCTTGGAGATCTCACGCAGAAAGCCTGTGGGCGGTTCTGGGCGGGGGCGGGCGGGCACTTGTAGGGCAGGCCGCACGCCGCCCTCGCCACCCACCAGCAGTACACGTCCGTCCACTCGCGCCGACGGCCACTTTATGCTTTGGTTGATGCGTTCCCACGTCTCCGTCGCTGTGAAAGTATATGATGAAATAAGTAGCGGTAGTAATTTCTGAAATTATTTAGTATTAGCGATTCATCCGCCCTGGCTTCGCACTGGTGATTTCTGGATCTTGGTAAGGGCGCCCACCTATCAGGTCCAAATGTGAATATAAACCATCTATGGACCCATTCAAGCACATGAAAATTTCATCAAAATCGGTTGGATTGTTTAAGTCTATAACGGACATAAGTAGAAACATTTTTGTGGTTTTTATAGATAGATTTATCGGTCCATTGAAATGTTATATTAATCGCTGTAGTAGTATAGTATAGTCTTTATGCATTTTTTATAGAATATGCAAGCAAATAGAAGAAGCGAATAGAAGCAAAATGCACATTGCTATGTAGTGGTAATTCTGGCTCAATAAATTTAATGTTTGTACTGCTCCGTGAAGGAAATGATTTGAAGGGCCGAAATCTACTGAAAAAGTAGAAATCTATTAAATCTGGTCTCGCTATAAAGGAAGAGGTTTTCAATGAGGGCTAATAATCTTCTGCTCAACAGATGTCGGTAGTTGACACTGAGGTGAAGTTTTTTGTTACACAATGTCATTTAATTGAGCAGAGAGCATATTAATACATAAAAATGTCTCAGTGATTTGCTCTTTAATTATATTGTTCTATAATAATAATTTGTTTTTTCGGGAAACCCTTTTTACTGGAGACGAGGCAATCCATCTTAGTTCTCAGAGTTGACAAAGCATCTGCATTTTAATTCTTAATCGAAGATAAATGTAGATGACTATGGGCCACAGCATTCATTTACCAGCAGGTGGACTGTGTGCTTGTATTAGATGTTGGTAGTGTCGGTGTGCAGGGATAAGTGCGACGTGCAGCGTACGTACCGAAGTGGAAGCGCCAGAGCTCGTTGGTGGCGTGGCCGCGTGCCTCGCCACCGAAGATGTAGAGGTGCGCGCCGGCGCGCAGCCCCGCGTGCCCGCTGCGCGCCCCCCGGCGTCGCGCCCCGCGCTCCGCCCCCGCCCCGCACCTGCGTCCACGCGCGGCTCACTGCACCGCAACGTTGTACCACGTTTAGTTTCTAGCTAACACTTTTATGTATATAGGCTGTCCGCTTAGATACGTTTGCCTTTGTGTAGTACCGCCTCGGCACGTGCCGCATCTTGTCAAAGGCGCCACCGCGACATCAAAAGTCACCGTCGGCGTGCACGCGCAGGAATATTTGACATTGTAAAACGAAGCGCCTTAGTATAAGTTTCTTTGTTACCTATCTTGTGTTTATTATTTATATTAGTATTTTATTAAAATAACCATACTACAATACAACAATATACCTAGTACTATTTTATTCTTACAATTTATTAAACACACATTTCATTAAAATGTCCAAATTGAAGTTTGAAAGTGATTGCGCGAAATCAAGAAATACTCCATAATGATGGTTTTGATCGTACGATCGTGGAATCAAAGCTACATATCTCTTTTGAGTGCTCTAATTGGTCACGCGACATCGCAAAGGCACCGGTGATTAGAGTTGGAGACGATTAGAGATCTAGACGATTAAATTGATTTGCACAATCTTATTCATCGTGCGATGAAAACGCATCGTTTAATCCTATCGATACCTAATTAGGACAACGCCTAATTTAAGTCAACGTTATATGAAGTTTATTTCAGGTAGGTATGTAGGTAACTCTATTTTATATTTACCTGAAAACATTAATCGTCGTTAATGAAAATACATTTGCGTGACATATTTACCGTGCTAGCAACCCGCCCAACCGGTGCCCGCGTGATCCACAGCCGTCACACACTTGTTGTTTAATGAAATGGAGTAAAAACAAGGCTACACAAAGAGGCACTTGGCACTTTTCGCACATAATTTTTGAACTTTTGCTGCATACAAATATTTAATCAGTGCAATACACGGCGGATTATTAAACACGAATCGATAGTTAGTACCTCTGTTGACTTAACTGAAGTCTCATCATCAGATGACGATAAAAAGATTCTATATCTTTATATCATCTATATAAAATATATATCTTGTTTATAAAAATATACTAGTCATAATGTCTCAGTAAATAAGTTTTAATAATTTTGTGAAGTTACTGTTTAAGGGTAGTTTCTGATATCTAACGGGTTACCTTTTTTATAAATTAATATAATGTCAGATGTACACCATTGCTTTGGTACCATTTCTGTGTCTAATATCATATTAAAGAGGTGTGTTAAGTATCCATGTAAGATGGGGGCACCTAATTTAAGGGCTTCGTTTGTTAACCCATCGGGCCCTGGACTTTTTTCATTTTTTAGTGTTTTTATATGCGAGAGTATTTCTTCTTCTTTTATTGGTTTAACTGTATTTACTCTAGATTTATTATCAATTTCTTCTTCCAATGTACTTTCGTCTTCCTTCTTTTTGTATAGTTGTTTATAAAATTTGGTGGCGTGGCCTATCACATCTTTTCTTGACTTAGTTAGTCTCTTCAGAATTGTTTTCAAGTTTTTGTGTCCATTTCTTTTGAAGAGTTAGTTCCTTGAAGGCTCTCTTAGTGCTTCTAAAACTTTTTATATTTTTTGTTATTATCATTTCTCTATGCTTAAAGTAGTCGAGTTTTATGGATTTATTAGTGAGTTTGAAGAGTTTGGTAAGTTAATTTTTCTTTTCTTTGTTTTTCTTCTTTGTGTTTATTAATTCTGTGCGTTTTTTAATTAGTAGTTTTGATTGTTCGCTAAATATTGAATGTCGTGTCTTTTGGGTGTCTTTATTATTCTTTAAGCTGGATATTATATTTTCTTCAAAGTAAGTCATAGAAGGTTTGAACATTCTCAGGCGTGGTAGTTATATTGTCTTCGAGATTGGATTTAAGGCTTTCAGTGTAATTTTTAATTTCGTAATCTGTTGGGGTTTTTTTATTGAAGTTTGAAATGTTTTTCTGCTTTTTTTTTGTTTGGTATAAATGAAACGTTGCTCGTAGTAATCTGTGGTCTGAAGCAAATTGACTTGGTTTAGAACTTTAATGTTGCTTACCTTGTTAGGTTTATTAGTTAAAATAAAATCGATTTCATTTTTGATCTTCTGATTAGGTGACATCCAGGTCCATCTTCTTTTGGCTTTTTTCTTGAAGAATGTGTTCATAATAGACAAATTGTGTTCGAGAGCAAAATTTATTAGTCTCTTTCATTGTGTTCTCCGTACCCGTAGCTTCCCATACCACAAGCATTCTTCTTTCTTGGGCCACCCTATTTTAGCGTTAAAGTCACCCATAATTATTATTATATTGTCTGCTAAAGAGTGTATATAGCAATATACAGTGATATACCATATCGCTGTAAAATGTCTCGATATCTTTTTGCGATGCCTCTGTTGGTGCATATGCCTGGATTATAGATATATTAAATTCCTCGGTTACTAGTTGCAGTAGAGCAACCCTTTCAGAGATCCCTGTGAAATTAGATATCATATGTTTATGTTTTTTCTTTACCAGGAATCCTATCCCATGTAAGCCTTTTGTTTGCCCAATGTAACATAGGACGTACTCTCGATATTCTTCAATGCTGTAACCAGTTTTCTTTACTTCGAATAAACCCAGTATATCGAAATCGATTTCTTCTAGTGCATAAGTAAGTTGTAAGTATCGTTCAATTGATGAAAGGGATCTTACATTAAATGTACCTATTTTTAAAGTGTTTAGTTTTCAACTTGTTTCTTTTCACATCTAACATTTTTGTTGTTATTACCATTTTTATTACAATCTTTACTATTACTCTTGCAATTCTTCAATAGAGGGTGGTGGTCTACTTCCCCACGAGGACCAGTCGGCTTGGGGAATACTTCATTGTTATTGTTATTTAATTTTAGTTTAATTGTTGTTTTGTTCCGGCAGCTGATGTTTTTATGTCATTGTGTCTGCTCGTTAGGTTTAGAAGGCCAGGAAAGGGAACTACTTCTTCCTCTCATAATGTCGAAAGCATATCTTATTAGGCGATAAATCTCGTTTACGCTTTTCGTTGCTTAGTATTTTTTCTTTAATGATTATCATAATCTATTATCGCAAAGTTTCCCTTTTTTCTTTCCTCTGTCAGTTTTCCTCTTAATTCTTTCCTTTTTTTTTGAACTTCTTTAGGATAGTCTTCAGAAACATATACATTTTTAAATTTCTTCTTGTTTCTCATTATTTCTACCTTTTTCCAGGCATTCACCAATGACAAGTACTGGTCTTCCCCTTCCATTGCTATTGACTTTTTTGCCGATTCGGCGTATCTCATTAATATCGTTGTTCTCAAGGGAAATTTTTAAATCAGTACCTATTTTTTGACTGTCAATTCCATTAGTTCCAGCTCGGTCTCTTCTGTTTCTTTGAGTCCGTATATAATAATATTATTGTTTCGTCTGCTTCTTTCCATTAATTTTATATTTTCTTTCAGTTCTTGGTTTTCCAACCTTAATTCTTCGACTTCGCGTGTGAGAGGAGCCAACTTTTCGTCTAGTTTCGAAATTATATCTTCTGTTTGTTTTGCCATTTCATTTTTCATTCGTTCAAAGAATATTTCTATGTTATCCATAGTTGTTTAGTGTAAAACGTAATGTTTTTACTAAGTCCCGCTTCTAAAAGGTAGTGATTATATACTCTTTGTAATAAACGTTGAACGCAGCCTAATTCCTATATGTTGTCAGCATTGATTGTTAGAGATGTTATGTTGGTAGATATTTCACTGCGGTTGTCTGTGGTGTATAACACTTATCCTTGTACATACTTGTCAGTAGACCCATAAGTCTACTGACAAGTATGTACAAGTTCTTTACATCTATCATATTAAAACGAATCACAAAAGAAATTGACGCTTCTCAGGCAATAGAACAAGCAGGTTTCCGCTCAGGATTCAGCACAATTGACCACATACACACTGTAGAACAACTAATAGAAAAATTCAATGAATTTAATAAATCTCTTTATATCGGTTTTATAGACTACAGCAAAGCCTTTGACAGTATCAACTATAGTTTC